GTGTAAAGCGCTTTGGGGTCCTTAGGGACTAAGTAAAGCACTATACAAATACAGGCCATTTACCATTTAAATCAGAAGGCAATGCTGCGGTTGACAGGGTTTATTATGTGAAACAGCAGCTTTAGTTTAAACAGCCTGTGTTAGGAGGCTAGCTTCATCCGTCTCCCTTCCCTTTGGTTGGAAGGGACGGGGTTTCATCTTTTTGCAGCCAGTCACGGCTTTCATCACCGTCTTTCTCGTCTTTCCCTGGAGTAACAGCCAAAATGTGCAAGGAGGATCTATTAGCTAGCACTGCTTAGCCTTGCATACGTTCCTATTTTAAACTTAATCTGGAATTCATTGCAAACTGTTTGTGCGGGATATGAATGACAACATTTTGTTTTTCAACAAGAGTTAGTAAAAAACATCTCCAGTGTGACAACATTTTTATGCCAAACATCCGCAGCTTGGCCTGCTATACAGCACTGTAATGCCCAGACCTCATTCTTTTGAAAACCATACATCTTTCCACAGGTCTGAACTTCATCAGACATCACCTAGACACAGAGCTGGATGAGGCCAGCACAAACAGCAGCCTGTCTGATGAAGATGACTTCTTTGGATCCATGGGGTCAGGAAAGTCAGGAGCCGTGTAGCAGGAGAGGTACCTTTCATGTCTGTTTACTGGAGGTGTGAATCTATTGCATGTCTTTCCCCACATCAAGAACCTGTCATTTAAAATCAATACAGCTCTTCCTGCATCTGGAGCTTGTGAAGGACTTCTTAGTAAGGCAGGAATCCTGTTCACTGTTAAACAGTTACATCTCCACAGCAAGAACCTTGAGAGCAAACTGCTGCTGAAGCTTAACCATCATTTCACTGAGCGAAGAAATGGTACATTTTTGCTAAATATGCAGAAATAGATGCACACCCATATAGTTTATGGTAAAGTAAACTGGCTTCTATGTACATGTTCTAATGTTTTCTCTGAGGCTACTGTATCATTTGGATTAAAAGTGACTTTAAAGTCTACAGCACATTCTTATCACTGGATATGGTTTGCTCCGTTTATATATTTATATTATTTATTGTATGTATTGGTTAAAAAGTTTTATGTTGTGAAAAACCGAAATCTGGAAATTAGAATTGTTGTGCCTTAATTGGGGCCCGAGCCCTGAGACCGCGAAGGCCCTTTTGTATCAGTTTTGTTTATTAATAATAATAATATTACTAATAATAATATTTAGTGAAAACAAAAGCACAAGTTTACCATGCTCAAAAACTCATGAAATTTTGCACACATGTCAGGTCTGGTGAAAAATTACGTGTTTTAATGGTTTCACATATGAGCATTGCAAAATGGTCTGGAGCGCCACCTATACATTGTTAAATGAAGTCCCAAGAACACAAACTTTGAGCTACATGAATAAAATTTTGCCCAAATTTTGACAAACAAAAAAGTCATGAGCCCATCAATGCAACGCATTTGACATTGGGGAGAGCGCCACTTAGTGGGAACAGGAAATGTCATGCAGTACTGCATGCTTTGGTGTGCAGTATAGAAATTAGTGCCCTCAGCAGCCTTAAATTTCTCTAGGAAAGCCTTAAGGAGTTGGTTTTGGGCTGTATTGGGGCGATCGTGGCTCAAGAGTTGGGAGTTCGCCTTGTAATCGGAAGTTTGCCGGTTCGAGCCCCGGCTTGGACAGTCTCGATTGTTGTGTCCTTGGCCAAGACACTTCACCCATTGCCTACTGGTGTTGGTCAGAGGGCCCGGTGGCGCCAGTGTCCGGCAGCCTCGCCTCTGTCAGTGTGCCCCAGGGTGGCTGTGGCTACAATGTAGCTGCCATCACCAGTGTGTGAATGTGTGTGTGAATGGGTGGATGACTGGATGTGTAAAGTGCTTTGGGGTCCTTAGGGACTAGTGAAGCGCTATATAAATATGTATGTACTGGAAATATGGATGTACTGCTCCTCACATAAATATGGATGTACTGCTCCTCACATGATGATCAGATTCATCTGAAAAGTGGTGAGAATAAACATCAGTCCTCAATGATGTTTCAGTGTCATAATTATATTTAATTTTAATAACTGTACAGTACTCTGATTTTGATAACTATTGTCCTTGATGTAAATATGTAAAAAAATTGTATGTTACTGCTCTGTGCCCTGTGTACTGTTTGTTTGTGTATGTATTTTTCTTGCTGCTGTTACAACTGAATTTCCCCTTGTGGGACAATTAAAGGATTACTCCTATTCTATTCTAATTGTGAATTTAAATTGAATGGCGCACCCGTGTGGCAAGGCGATTCACCATGATTCACCTCTGTCAGTGCGCCCCAGGGCAGCTCTGGCTACAATGTAGCTTGCCATCACCAGTGTGTGAATGTGTGTGTGAATGGGTGGATGACTGAACGTGTAAAGCGCTTTGGGGTCCCTAGGGACTAAGTAAAGCACTACACAAATACAGGCCATTTACCATTTTTAGCATGGAACATGATGTACCTTTTGAGGGGCTTGGAAACCTCAAAAAATCTTGAAATCTGGCACACACCTCCAATGTGAGGAAGGCTTTCTTTTTGTCTGATCATTTTCATTAAATATTGCAAAATGGCTCCACAGCACCCCCTACAAAACTTCAAAATACCCTTGCCCTATGTTTGATCTTTGACTCTGAAACTTGGGAAGTTAATGTAAGATATCAAGATGTACAAAAAGGTGTCTTGGAGCAATACCTCAAATCCAACAGGAAGTCAGCCATTGTCAATTGAAGGTGTAATTTTGGTGACATTTTTTCCTCTTTTCAGGCCTCGTACTTTAACAACCTCCTCCTAAGGATCTCATCAGACTGATGTGATTGTCAGTGAATGAAATCTAAAGATGTTTGTGATGTTATATTGCGAAGCTTTTTACGTTTGGTGAAATGGCATGGCCATGGCGTCACGCGGAGTTTTAAGCACTCGCCAAAAAGCACGAAACTGCTGTCAGTCAAAGACACAATGCCCAGTCTCTCCCAAACTTCACAGGCATGATGAGAGCCAAGCTCAAAAATGTTTGATATGCCATTTCTCGGTAATGTTTAGAGCGCCACCTAGTGGAAAGAGGAAATGCAAAGTAGAGTATAATCATCATTGAACAAAATGAATTTTTATCTTGTTCTTCTACGCGTTAAATCCATCAGTGTGACATTAGATAGGACCTGCTGGGCGTAGGTGATGGGCGTGGCTCGACACGCCGGGGTACGAGGGCCGTCTTAACGCTGCTTGCAGCTTTAATTTGTTAATGTTTTTAAATATATTCTTTTGGAAAATACTAAAATTTGTGTATTTATTGTCATAGTTCTCAGCATCTAGAGAGAGTGTGGTGTGTTTTTGTCTCCCACCAGGGTGGAACTGGACTTTGCTTCCCCACCTCTGAACCCACCCTTAATGCACACGTGTGGCTCATTCACACTGATTCTGCTCTAGCTTCTCATCACAAGCATTATTCCTGGCAGACTACTTAAGACGGCAGGAGATGCTGCTTCCTCGCTGGATCGTCACACTACCTAGCGTCAGTGTAGCCTCTTTACTCTTACTTGAGTAATTTTTTGAATGACTACTTTTCACTTTTACTTGAGTAACAATATTTTAAAGTAATGCTACTCTTACTTGAGCACAATTTTGGATACTCAACCTACCTCTGCACTCCTGGGTGAAGCCCACATTGTTTTTGACACCACTCAGACAGCCAGCAATTTAAGGAGAAGATGCGGCTAAACATGCCACTCCTTGTCCAATTGGGGAGGGGACCAGAGAAATCTACAGAGTCCCACAATTGTTTTGGCAAAGTTACACACTGATTCAATATTGACTTTATTGACCTCTGACTGACTTAGCTAGTAATCAGACACTAATTGTACTCACTGCATCCACAAAGCCACCAGCATTGTGAAGCATCCCACGAACTCTTCACTCCGCTGCAATGGCTCCCTGTTATATTCAGAATTCAAAATCCTGCTCCTCACATTCAACGTCTTAAATCATCAGGCCCCATCACCTATGGTCATGTGACAGGTACATACTGAACAATTTGCGTTTATGAGTGTTAGTACCTTTCTAGATGATAGGAAGTCCATAGCCTGAACAATCTGGTAAGAGAAGCTGATGAGATCATTGAGGCTGAGGAGAGGACTGTCACTGAGGAGCAGCGATGATGCCTCCTGCTGGTCTGAAGTAGAACAACACCAGTTAAACCAGAGATATCCCATACTTGTCCATGGAACAGCTTCTTAATATGGATGTTCAGTGACTTGAATCTGCAGGTAGGAGTGTGGTGTGTCCACATATTTATGGCCATAACTGTGTGCAGCCGTCACCTGCAGGCGTGTACGGTGTCTCGTATACGGCGGGTTCGATGTCGGCGTAGCTGAGCTCCTTCATGGCAACGTACTGAGCGCTCTCCTCTTTGTTCATGTCTATGTAACCTCCATCATTGTCACTGTGAATGAGCCGGTGAGTCAGCACTGGACAGAATCTACATGTGTGTGTGGCTGTGGGTGTGTGACAGACCTCTTGGTCTGTGTGTCTCCATGTAGAAAGGTATGTTTGTTCCTCTGCAGGTAGTTCACCAGATCTCCATGACAACAGAACTCAGTGATCAGATAGACGGGACCTGCACAGGTGACATGTCAGGATTACGTTAGCATCAGTTTGAGTATGGACAGCATTGGAGATGGTTTAGGACTAAGACTTGGATTAGAACTAAGTCAAGTATCTCCATAAATTATAATCCCAGGATACTGCAGATAACAAGAACAGCTCTGTTTAATCTCCGCTATGTACAGTCGGTGTGCCTCACCTGTTCACTCATTAGTGTTGGTCATAATCAGTCATGGTTAAGTTGAAAACTTGTAAATAAATAAAAATAAAATTACTTACTGTAGGATAGACATTAGTTTGTGAATACTCGGGAAAAGAATAGTCTAGAAATAAATGAGGATTAGAAGAGGATTAATTCTGTATTTGCTTGGAATTATGTCTGGATTATGTCTTGATGCATGCTCAATCATCCAGGTAAGTAAATCTCCAAAAGTTGATTCTGTTCATCTGGACATAAAATGGTAAATGGTAAATGGCCTGTATTTGTATAGCGCTTTATTTGGTCCCTAGGGACCCCAAAGAACTTTACACTACATTCAGCCATTCACCCATTCACACACTGGTGATGGCAAGCTACATTGTAGCCAGAGCTGCCCTGGGGCGCACTGACAGAGGTGTAGCAATTTCAGATTCAGAAACGTTTCGTCACTCATCCAAGTGACTTCTTCAGTCTCAGCTGACTGCAGGTTTCCCAAATCGTATAAACAGTACATTTGCAAAATGATTGAAACCAGTGAAACGACTGAAGGAACAATGGGCTGGGAGGCCAGGTTCTTCAGTGGGCTGGTTTCAGTCATTATGCAAATGTACTGTTTATAAGATTGGGGAAACCTGCAGTCAGCTGAGACTGAAGAAGTCACTTGGATGAGTGACGAATTGTTTCTCCCACTGAAAACGCTGCGTCCAGATGAACAAAATCAACCTTTGGAGATTTGTCTGGATTTGTTTAAGAATGATATTAGGGTTAAATGAAGAACACTTTGGGATTAAACAAAGATTATATCAGGAGTAAACTGAGACCTCCTCTCGTGCAGGCTCCCAGCAGGTTGACAACATTCAGGTGAGGACCGAGATGAACCAAAACCTTCAACTCTGACATCAGAGACTGAACTGCATCACTTCTCGCTGCAGAAAGACAGAGTCAGTCAGTCAGACAGTCAGACAGACGGGTAGATAGCCCAACCAACAGAAAGACAGAGAGACAGACCTACAGACAAACAGATACATTCAGACAGACAGACAAAAAAAACAGTCAGGAAGAGTTTGTCAGACATACAAACAAACAAGAGACAGACAGACAGTCAGAGTGTCACAGACACACAGTTAGACAGTATGTGGTGCTGTCACTTGGTGTTGGTTCTCTCTGTGGTAGAGTATCACTTCCTGTTCCATTTGTGTAGCTCACCTGTGCTGCCAATTTAATTAAACACTTACAGATAACATTTTATTTCACAGCATAATCTTCACTTACTTCATCCAAAGCACAGTCTCTGTGTACTCACTACCTAATTTATAGCCAAAGTATTCACTCACTGTGTCTTTACTGTTTTGCTAGCTTAGCTTAGCTTATAACGCACTCGCTAGCAGCATGGCCTCCTCACGTGTCCCTCCTGCACTTTCCTGCTCATTGTGTCAGATGTTTAGTTACTCTTCTGCGTCCTTTAGCAGTAATGATACTTGTAACAAATGCAGCATATTTGCAGCTCTGGAGGCCAGGATTACTGAATTGGAGACTCAGCTTCGCACCCTTCATTCACCCGTAGCTAGCCAGGCCCCCGTAGCTGGGGCAGCCAAAGATAGCGTAGGCCCCGCTAGCTGTTCCCCGGCAGATCCCAAGCAGCTGGGGAAAGAGGGCGGCTGGGTGACGGTGAGGAGGAAGCATTGTCTTAAACAAAAGGTCCAGGTACACCACCAACCTGTTCATGTGTCTAACCATTTTTCCCCACTCGGCGACACACCCGCCGGGGGTCAAACTCTGGTAATTGATGATTCTGTTCTCAGACATGTGAAGCTACAGACACCGGCAATCATAGTCAATTGTCTTCCAGGGGCAAAAGCAGGCGACATTGAGGGAAATGTAAAACTGCTGGCTAAGGGCAAATGTAAATTCAGTAAAATTATAACTCAGAATCAGAATCTGAAAAACTATTAATCCCAGAGGTAAACTGAGTTGTCATAGTAGCAAATATACAATAACCAACAAGCACTCATATAAAATTAGTGTAGAAACAGAGATATTGATAGATAAATATAGAAATAGGTGTAACCCAGTTTCTAAAATCATCTAATTTCATGTTCATTATTTCTGCTCTTATAGTCCTTCTTTAATGACAGTGAAACAAAATCAATATATTTATGTAAACCTAAAAGGGACGCAGATTTATATATGTGTTTTGGTTAAACAAGAGGTTTTTTTTTTCCAAGTGTTGATGAGCTCTGATGAGAGCCTATTGTTTTATTCCACTCCTCTCGTGTAAGCCAATCGGTAAAGCTCTAGGTAGCTCTTGTCCCTCTTTAGTACCAGCTCCCAAGTTTTAGTGTCTTGCTTCTACAGCCGATCAGAGCAGGTGGGCTAAAACTTTTTTATCGGTAAGCTGGAGAAATTAACCTCTAACAAGTTAAAAACCATTTAAACTGATATTGTTCATGAAGTACAGTTTTGTGTTTGCTGTCATAGAGGACAGAGCGACACCTTCCTTATACTGTTTTGATGTCAATCGGTTATTTTACTATGCTCAGTAATGGATATGTGGAGGTAATTTTTAGTGTATTTCCACTTGTACTATTAGGCCTATGGTACGTGAAGCACATCTATGTTAATATTCCTATTCGTAGACTGAAGTCACCTGTTTACATGTTATTGAAATTGATTATATGCACTTTGTTCAGTTTCTGATAATTTTTTGCATATTATTCCATTTCTTGAAAGGAGTGATATACTTATTTATTTGGGACGAATCCAAGGACCAGTTCAGCGATTCCAAATCCCGGAGTATTCCAGTGTTCATTGGAGCCAACCTGAGATTCTAGTGGACAATACACATATGTGCGCACACTCTTTTGCACATTGATGGACTGCAATCCTGCACTATACAAGTAATGCGGTAGGACAGACAAACACACGCACACACTTCTCATTGGACAGAACTTTGTTGCAATACATCCATTTGTCATGGGCCCCACTGGTACCATTTGGACCTAAAAAACTCATTCTTTACTTGTGCACAATTTAATTTAATTTAATTTATTTTTTTGCTACTTTGGGGGAAATTTTATATACTTCAAATCTTTGTTAAAATGTGTTGTAATTCTGTGTTGTTTAAAAAAATATCTTTTTAAAAAAAGGCTTAAATCACTAAAATTTCCTTTAAGCCACACAACTGTGCTTTGTCTGGTTTCTCTGTCATTCATTTCTCTGTACCAGAGCTCTAAGAGTCATTCTTACTCTTCTGATACTAGCCGATATTACTAATCACCTTGGTTATTATCCATTGGTACTGTATATAAACCCACATAAGTGCTACATATAGGTATAAATAGGGGTGGGCGGTTTAAATGGTATACGGTAGAAACTATATAAATCTGGCCAACAGTAGGAATTTTAACTATACCGCTCTACCGCAATAGCACATGTGTGTCATCAAGCTGCGCCTGTTTTGGTCGAAAGCATTGCAGCGGCTGCAAGCAATATCATCTGCAAATTCTGCCGGGTGACAGTAATGGCAAAGAGACGAAGCACGCTTGGAATGTGGTGCAAGCCAAAAACTGCTCTTCTTCCACTTCTTTACCAATGATTCATTAATGCTGAATTCTGTTGAAGGAACCTGTTGGTGAAACTGCTTTTCAATTCAATTCAATTCAATTCAATTCAATTTTATTTATATAGCGCCAAATCACAACAAAAGTTGCCTCAAGGCGCTTCATAGATACAGAGAAAAACCCAACAATCATATGACCCCCTATGAGCAAGCACTTTGGCGACAGTGGGAAGGAAAAACTCCCTTTTAACAGGAAGAAACCTCCGGCAGAACCAGGCTCAGGGAGGGGCGGGGCCATCTGCTGCGACCGGTTGGGGTGAGAGAAGGAAGACAGGATAAAAGACATGCTGTGGAAGAGAGACAGAGGTTAATAACAGATATGATTCAATGCAGAGAGGTCTATTGACACATAGTGAGTGAGAAAGGTGACTGGAAAGGAAAAACTCAATGCATCATGGGAATCCCCGGCAGCCTACGTCTATTACAGCATAACTAAGGGAGGATTCAGGGTCACCTGGTCCAGCCCTAACTATATTTTCACACTGGCTGTAATGACACCCAGGTTAAGTCAATCGGAGGTCACTAAAATCAATATTGAATCGGTGTGTAACTTTGCCAAAACAATGTGGGACTCTGTATTTTTCTCTGGTCCCCTCCCCAATCAGACCAGGAGTGACATGTTTAGCCGCATGTTCTCCTTAAATTGCTTGCTGTCTGAGTGGTGTCCAAAAAAACGATGCGGGCTTCATAGATAATTGGGAAAGTTTCTGGCGGAAACCTGGTCTTCTTAGGGGATACTTTGGATGGAGCAGCTCTCATTTCTAGAAATCTGGCCAAAGTATTAAACCCCCTCAAGATGGCAGCACATACGGTAGAACATAGGTATGCAGCAGCACAGCGCTCCCAACTACTGTGCACCTTTTTGGGTTTTTCATGCCTTTTCTTTGCTCCTTCCTGCAACTCACTGATCACTTTCAGTCATCAGGAACTAACAGACATCAGCCTCAACTTTACTTTGGATTGAAATTCCACCAACTTGTTAAGGATTCTACCAGGGGGATAGGACAGTCAACCATGTGTATGGTGACATGAAGCAGATGATGTTCTTCTCCAACTATAGGACTGTCTTGATCTCACAGACTGGTCCATCTTTGAACAGCAGGGTCCAGAGACTTTCCATCAGTCTGTCCTTATCATTTCCTTACCCTAAACATTTCCTGATAACATTTACATTTACAATAATTGATTACACAGCAGTGGAGAGTAGACTTCATCACAGTAGATGTCTTTCTGAAAGTGCTGTAACTAAGTTTAAGAATATAATCCACCTGTGGCGGACCACTGGAGGGCTCCACTCACACCCAGTTCTCAGGAAGTGTTGTTGCTGTGTTTTGGAGGGAAAAGTATTCAGTTGTGTGGTGATGAGTAATAAACCAACAGTGTTAATTGAGAGCTCTCGTGTCGTCTGTGTTTACCTCCACATCGGTGACCCCTGCCTCGAACATGCTGCAGTCCGATGGTGGCACCGACTCCGCTCTGGATGCATCAGCAGCTGCCAGCCCTCTGCCTCCGGCTGCAGCTACGTTTGCTGTAGCGCTCGAGCTGCCGGACTTTTGGCTTCACAATCCCCCGTCGTGGTTCGTGCACGTGGAGGCTCAGTTCGCCTTTCGTGGCATCTCGGCTGACGACACGAAATATCACCATGTGGTGGCTTCTCTCGACCCGCTAGCCACTCGTCGTCCATTGACTCTCCTCCGGGACCCACCCACCCGAGGGAAGTACGCCGCCCTTAAGTAACTGCTTCTTCGGCGCTATGCCCTCTCCGACGCAGAGCGAGCCGAGAAGCTCCTCTCCCTCTCAGGCCTGGGTGGCGGTACGGCTCTCGAACTGATGGAGCACATGCTATCCTTTCTCGGACCGGACGACGGGGGATTCCTCTTCGTCCACATCTTCCTCCGACAGCTGCCGGCGGCCGTAAGAGACGGCCTCGCCAACTCTCCGCTTCTGGGCACGAAGGATTATCGCTCCCTGGCTGAGGACGCAGATCGTATTCTCCTGGCTACCCGCACTTTCCACGATCTCAACCTGGTTCCAGCCTCACTGGCGGCGCCTTCCATTTCCCCGCTGACCTGCCCGGACGTATCCGATCCTTCGCTGACGGCAAAGATCGCGGCACAGCGACACCACGGACAGGACCTCTGTTTCTACCATCAGCGTTTTAGCGCCGGAGCGCGCCGCTGCCTGCTGCCTTGCACTTTTCCGACCCTGGGACACGGGCCCTGCCAGCGCGCTGTAGCGGCCGCGACCGCTGGCGACAAAGAAAAACTGCTCTTCATAGAAAACTCGCGTTCTGGGAGACGTTTCCTGGTCAACTCTGGCTCCCAGAAGAGCCTCCTTCCCCTGTCCGGAGCCGACAGTTTACCAGCGGGCTGCGGACCGCAGCTTATTGCGGCTAATGGCTCTCCCATCGCAACGTTCGGGGAAAGGTTCGTGACTGTTTGTTTTCATGGTCAGGATTTCCAATGGACCTTTGTTGTTGCTGCTAGCTCTGTACCTATTTTGGGCACGGATTTTCTTTGTGCCCACGGACTACTGGTCGATGTCGCTAACAGACGCTTAATCGATGCCCTCTCTTTTTCTTCAATACCCTGTTTCACTCGCGCCATCGAGCTCCTGAATCGGGCTAATTTAGTAACTTCAGGGAATGTTTTTCAGCATTTGCTCTTGGAGTTCCCTTCACTGACCCTTCCTAATTTCTCGAACACGGCAACGAAGCACGGGGTTGAACATTATATTCCGACGGTCGGTCCCACGGTGTTCGCATGCGCGCGCCGCCTCGACCCCGCGAAACTCTCCGTCGCTCGGGAAGAGTTTGCTGCAATGGAGCGCCTCGGCATAGTGCAGCGCTCGAATAGTACCTGGGCTTCTCTGCTACACATGGTGCCCAAGTCAGACAGTCGGTGGCGGCCGTGTGGGGATTTTCGCCGTTTGAATAATGTCACGGAGAA